GCACCGATGCAAACAAGGAAAACTTTTGATAATTGAACCGATTGAGAAGGAAACGGAAGCATAAGTGTCAGATTTCGATCATGAAGGTATGGAAACTGATGAAGATGTTGAAGCCATCACACATACAGTGCATGCATTGGTTGGCTACTCTAATCCACAAACTATAAAAATTGGGGGAACACTGAAACACCAGTCTGTTACTATTTTGATTGATATGGGTAGCACTAATAATTTTATGAATAGGAAAGTTACAGCCCGATTAGCTTACCACATCGAATGTTATGACAAATTTGAAGTCAAGGTTGCCGATGGATGGATTTTAACCTATGATAGCAAGTGCTCAAAGATAAAACTGACTTTGCAAAGCCAAGAATTATTTGTGGATTTCTTCTTACTACCCTTGGAAGACTATGAAGTGGTGCTTGAAATTGAATGACTATCAACCCTAGGTGATGTCTCCTAGAATTTTTCTAAACTAATTATGAAGTTCTTTATCAATGGAAAGTAGGTGACTTTCAAGGGAAGATGCGGAGGTAAAGTTACAACTATAACTAGCTATCGAATGGAGCAGGTTCTCTGAAAGACACACACTGGATTCTTGGTGCAATTGCAAAACATTGAAAAGGAAACGATAGTGCACATCCCAACTTAGAAATATTGAATCATTGCTTATAGAGTTTGCAAATATATTTGCAAAGCCACACGGACTTCCACCTTTTAGACGTCATGATCATTAGATCCCACTATTACCCGGGAAAGCATCAACCAACGTTCGGCCCTATAGATATCCACATTTCCAAAAGGTAGAGATAGAGAGGATTGTCACAGAGATATTCAAAACAGGAGTTATATGAGCTAGTATTAGCCCATATTCCTCCTTAGTCTTATTGGTCAGAGAGAAGGATGACTTATGGCGGATGTGTGTAGACTATCGAGCACTCAATAATATTACAGTGAAAGATAAATATCCTATTCCAATAGTGGATGAACTGTTGGACGAATTGGGAGGAGCTCAGGTTTTCACTAAATCGAACCTATGATTGGGCTATCATCAAATCGGAGTACATGAATGTAATATTCAGAAAACTACCTTCAGGACATATAATGGCCATTATGAGTTTCTAGTAATGTCTTTTGGGTTAACCAATGCACCTCTACCTTCCAGAGTTTAATTAATAATATATTTCGAGCTCATCTCTATAAGTTTGTTCTAGTTTTCTCTAATAATATTTTAATATATAGTCCTTTCCTAGAAAGTCATTTATTATATTTATGAATTGTCTTTAATATTCTTCGTGAGCATGATCTTTTTGTCAAGAAATCCAAATGTAGTTTTGGGCAACCGTAGGTTGAGTACCTCAGGCATATCATATCTCAAAAGAGTGTTGTAGTTGATCCTTCAAAAATTCAAGTAATGATAGATTGGCCAATTCCAAAGTCAATCAAAGCTTTAAGGGGGTTCTTGGGACTAACGGGCTATTATCAAAAATTTGTGAAGAATTATGACAAAATCAGTGCTCCCTTGATGCCACTTCTAAAGAAAGATGCATTCAGATAGTCAGAAGAGGAAACTTAGGCATTTCATTTCTTAAAAATTGCAATGACTACTACACCAGTGCTTACTCTACCCAATTTTAATAAGTTATTTATGATTGAATCTGATGCTTCTAGAGTTGAAATATGAGTTGTATTAATACAAGAAGGTCGGCATATTGCTTACGCTAGTAAGGCTCTTTCCCCTTCCCATATGAGTTTATCTATTTATGATAAGGAGATGCTAGTTAGGATCAAGAGCGGCACTAAGAGGGGGGTGAATTAGTGCAGCAGAAAACTTTTGTGATTTCAGAAAATAGTTCGTTTCGTTTAAAACCGATTCCAACGAAAATGGTTTCGATTCAATCTGTTTTGGAGAGAAGTTGAACTCGAAAGCTTTCGTAAAAGTGCAAGAGAAGATTAAGGAGGTTTGTAGTAAAGTAAATTGCACAAAGTATATGCAAACCGAGTTTTAGAGTGGTTCGGTTAATGTAACCTACATCTACTTTCAAATTCCTCCTCCGACGAGGTTTTCAGGGTCCGCTAAAGGCCTTCCTTCAATAGGTGAAGACCAACCACCTCTTTTACAGTGCTTTCTTCTTTTCACGAGTTTAGGAGAGAACACTTACAAGTCTCACACCTCTCTTGAATGATCTCAACACTTGGAAAGGAAGGAGAACTCTAGTACTTTTACAACTCTTTAACACTTTAAAAACTCCAGAATATATCAAGCTTTCGTTGCCCTTTCATATAGAAAAGGGTGGGGTATTTATAGACCCCAATGACTTTCAAAAATAGAGCCAAGAAGTGTCTCATCTCGGATTTCTGGAGTACTAGCGATACCACCACCATTTCTGGGTGGTACTATCACTTGACACCTGACACTGGGCGGTACGACCGCCTGATAGAGCTTGGAGACTAAGCTCTAGTGGTACCACCACCTGACAGGGGCGGTACCACCATTGGCGGCATTAACTATCAGCGGTACCACTGCCTGACAAGGGTGGTACCATCGCCCAGAATTCCTGGGAGACCGAGTCTCCCAAGCGGTGCCACCATTAGCTAAGAATTTAGGGTCTTAGTTGGGCCTTGAATCCAACCCAACTACGGGCCCAGTTGGCCCCTAATTAAGTTAGTGAGATTACCTCTCAATCTTAACTTAATTTACACTCTAATTATGATAATTAAGACATGATTACTGCACTTCATGTTTCGGTGTGTCAATTGCTCTTCCGGTGAGCTTCCGATGTACTTTCGGTGAACATCCGATGAACTCTTGGCAATGCTCCGGCGGACTCTCGGCAAGCTCCCGAACTTTACGACGATCTTCTTGGCGAGCTCCGATGAGTTTCTTTAGCAAGCTCTTGGACTTCTCGGTTGGTTCCGACAGAACTTCGGACAAATGTTCAGACTTCCGGCGAACTCTCGAACTCATAATGAGATCTCGATCTGGACTCCGAAAACACTTGCTTTATGTCTTACTACTATCATAGTTAATCCTGTACACTTTTTTCAACATATAGATTAGATCAAACGATTTACAATTGACTTCATTATCAAAATCCGAGATTCAACTGTCACAAAATGGAGACACTACCAAATTGGTCGACGGTTTCAAATACGCACTGATCACAAAAGCCTCAAATATTTTTTGGAGCAAAAGATTTCTTCTTTAGAGTAGCAGAAATGGGTCACAAAGCTACTATGATTCGATTATGATATCATTTATAAAAAGGGGAGCGAGAATTTAATAGTAGATATCCTTTCACGCCTTTTATAACAAGCTGAACTTGTAGCTATTTCTATTCCTATTTGCGAGACTTTGGAAGTTATCAGAAGGGAATGGTCAGATAATCCTAAGATCCAAAATATCACTAAAAAATTAGAAGAAGCCATAGGTTCTGTCCCAAATTATAGTTGGGATCTAGTGGACTTACGCTATAAAGGCTAAATAGTTGTTGCCCCACATTCTTCTTGCTAGGAGATAAGTCTGAAGGAGTTCCATTCATCACCAATTGCTGGTCCCTCGAGATTTCTCCGCACTTATAAACGAGTCTAACAACTTTTTTACTGGAAATGTATGAAAAATTTTATCAAGAAATTTATTGTAGAATGTGATGTTTGCCAGCGTCACAAAAGTGAGACAGCAACCACCCCAGGCTTGCTACAGCCCCTCTTTATTCCTAATGCTACTTGGACCGACATATATATGGATTTTATTGATGGACTCCCACCATCTTAAGGAAAAAGTACTATACTTGTAGTCATTGATAGGCTTACAAAGTATACTTATTTTTGTGCTTTACAATATCCTTACACTACTACCAGTGTTGCTCGTATTTTTATGGAAAACATAGCTAAATTACATGGGAGTCCCCGTTCCATTGTTAGTGACGGAGACAAGGTTTTTACTAACTCCTTCTGGACAGAACTTTTTCGTTTATAGGGTACTTAGCTGAATATGAGCACTGCTTATCATCCACAAATAGATAGGCAAACTGAAATGGTAAACAGGTGCCTAGACAATTACCTTTGATGCTTTACTAGTGACAAGCCGAAGGAATGGATTAAATGGCTTTATTGAGCGAAGTGGTGGTATAATACCTCTTACCATTTGAAGCAGTTTATGGTCAACCCCCGCCTATAATTACAAAATATATATCTGGTTATTCTAAAGTTGATCAAGTGGAAATGGAATTGATGGATAAAAACAAGATTATTCAACTTTTAAAGGATTACCTCACAGACGCACAAGCAAGAATGAAACATGCTGATAAACACCGAAGTGAACGAGAATTTACCATGGGTGATTGGGTTTTCCTTCGTCTTCAGCCATATAAGAAAACTTTCATAAAGGTCCGATCTTCCACGAAGTTGTCTTTTCGATTTTTTGGGCCTTATAAGGTATTAGAACGTATTGAACCAGTTGCCTACCGCTTGGATTTACCTGCTAGCTCTAAAATACATCTAGTCTTTCATATTTCATACCTTAAGAGGAAGTTGGGTGAAGATGCGATAGTGCAGCGTCATTTGCCGAACACTTCTACTACTGGGGAAGTTCAAACTCAACCACAAGCCATACTTGATCGACAAGTTATAATGTACCATAGACATCTTATAACTGAAGTGCTGGTGTGATAGACCAACTTACTAAAGGAATATGCCACTTGAGAGTCCTACAACACACTAAAGGAGAAGTTTCCATAATTTGATACTGCTCAACCTTAAGGACAAGACTGAATTGATACTCCTTTTATTTTCTATGCTTTTGTTTTATTTTTTATGCTTATTTATTAAATATATTTAGTTTAGTTAAAGTCAGAACTTTATAAATAGAGATATAACGGTTTCTTTTCGATTATCTATAAAAATATTATTTAATCTTTTAACAAACCTTACGTGGCCGATCCTATCGAAGTTCATCCCTTTTTCTCTCGAAGACATTGCGGTCTTTATCAGTTTCAACATAAAGCAAGATCCGTGACTGTCTATCGTCGAGGTTCCAATACAGTAATTGAGACTTCATTTATTGACGTTGAACTGCCTTCTCTCTCGTTCTTGATTTCTGGAGACCTATTTCCTGTGGATTCATTTGAATCAGTGGTTCCACTAGTCTCAATGAGAAACCCAGGAGCAGAAGGAGATAGAGTAGTCATCGAGGAACTGCTTAGCATGAGAACAACCGATGCCATGGTCGGTCTCTTCGAGGGGTTTTCTTGAACGCACAGTAACGCCGTGCGTATGCAAGGCAAAGCTTCTTCTCTTTGAAACCTGCCACATAAGTTTTGATCCACTATCTGCAACGCCTCCCCTTTGTTCCAGTTCTTCCATGCCTGTTTAACGCGTACAGTCGCCAATATGCATTAGAATCATCAATCAGTCATCGATCACAGCTTTCCACGATCTCAGTGTCAAGTGAAGAGAGGAAATGCTTACATAGCTCTGAAGGTTTGCGCGATGACCTGATCCACGAAACTCGCTGATTCTTCGACCAGTTATAATCTCAAGCACCAACACTCCGTAGCTGTACACATCTGATTTGTCCGAGACGTGCCGAAGCAAAGCATACTCTGGAGCAATGTATCCGCTGCACGATGCCACAGATGAACAGGGGACAACAACGGAGGAGCTTTTCAACAAAATGAATTCAAAATTTTGACTCACTTTGTTCCAACTATTCGGCTAGCACTCTCTTCTGATCTGTCTTGGTCAACCAACAGCTTTGAAAGACCAAAGTCAGATATCTTGGGGTTCATGTGCTGATCTAGCAAGATATTACCGGGTTTTAGATCTCGATGAATAATCCTTAGGCGGGAATCCTCATGAAGGTAGAGAAGTCCTCTTGCAATCCCTTCGATGATCTTGTAGCGCCTTTCCCAGTTTAGTTGACCACATTTTGTGGGATCTGCTTCACCGTGGTTGAATGAGTTCATTAGCAATCTTAGAGTAAAAGGAAATGGCATGGACACTAATAGGAGCTCTTCGATAATACATCCGTTAGCATTTGATTAAAAGCTTTGTTTTCAGAAAATTAAGAAGTTGGAGGAGGATCGTACCAAACAAAATTTTGTCTAGGCTTGTGTTTGGGAGGAATTCATAGACGAGTAGCTTCTCTTCTTCCGAGCAAAAACCGATGAGCCTCACAAGATTTCTGTGCTGAAGCTTAGCAACAAAAGCGACCTCGTTTCTTAGCTCTGCGAATCCTTGCTGTGAGCTTCTTGCGAGTCTTTTCACAGCTACTTCCTGGCCGTCAGATAGTACGCCCTGTTCCGTATTTTGGGTAACATGAAGCTCTGGTGTAATTAAATGTAGACAGAAAGTGTGCAGTGTTTACTGCAAAAAAGGATAAGCCACTGGCTTTAACCATATATTTGACCTTATAAACTGGTCCAAATCCCCCTTCTCCAAGCTTGTTTGCGTCCGAGAAGTTATTGGTTGCAACCTTCAGTGTCTCGAAATCAAATAACAGAGAGTTTGGCTTTTCACTTTTCGCTCCTCCAACTTCTGATCGTTATATAAATTTTTTTGTTAAAATAAAAAAAATTTGAATTTGTTTTGGTAAATTTTTAACATTTAAATGAATAAGAAACAAAAAACATAGATGGAGTCAAATAAATTTACATACTCGACTTTCTGGCAAATATTTTCGTCCTCCACAAAAAAATCAAAAGCGCTGCGACAAGCATCACAGCACCGAGGATGGGGATGACAACAGCCACTACTATTTTAGAGTTCTGCTTTTTTCCTGAATTAAAACGATAAACAACATCTGATGAATATTTCCATCTTCTTATAATTAAATTTTAATTATGTACAACTTGCAACAATTGGTAGGAAAATATGGATGAATCGTTTGTAATTTAACGCATGTACATAATTTAATTATGTACTGTAACTTGCCTGCATCTCTCGCTGATGATGACGAAGAGTTGGAGTCCACCACAGCAGGCGGAGGCCGTGGATTGGCTGTAGCTCCAGGCGGAGGTGCCGAAGAGAGTGCAGATGACAGCGGAGGCAGTGGAGATGTCGGGACCGACATATTATAGTATGAATAGGTCTCGTACCTCAAGAAGCACCTGTACTTCAACACCACTCCTCCCTGGTTTTTCCAGCAACAACTCTGCATTGAAGCCAAGGACTGCCGAAGACACTGAAAGCAGTCATCATCAGACTGATCCCTGGTGCACTGCACCAATCCATACAGATTGGTGGCGCTCGTAAAGTTGGCTTGTCCAATGGCGAACATGCTGTCCGTCTTGTAGGCAGCCCAGTTGATGAGGGCATTCATCAATTCCCCCACCAGATCCACGAATCTCGACGTCTCCGAAACTTCTCCTCCGTTGAATATGATTTGGGTAAAGGATGATTTGTCGCGATCGTTCGAGAAAGTTGTGTTGGAGTAAGCTAGGAAGCAGAGATCTCCCCAAGTGGCCGCATCTTTTGCGGAGGGGCAGCTACTGCGGAGGGTGTCGACGGCGGTGGCGAGGCAAGCTTGGCATTTGTCTTGAGACACGTCGAGTTGGCAACGCGCCAGGCCGAAGACTTGGTCTGGTGAACGCCCTGCAGATGTGTTCGCGTAGCCGGTGGAGACGGTGGCTGAGGTGAGGGATGGGAGGAGGAGGTTGAGGTTGAAATGGTAGGTGCTGTTGGTGGTAAAGTTGGAGTCCGTGGGACACGTTTCCCATGATGCAGTGTGGCGTGTGTTACAGAGGGAGAGGAGGAAGAGGAGCTGCGCAAGCATCGGGAAGTAATTCCAGGCATGCATCGTGCAACCGGTTGTCCTCCGTTGATTTTGGGATGCCGTGGAGGGAGCATACAGAGACGTAGCTTACTATATATAATACATTTGGAGCAAAGGTTAATTTGGATGGTCGCCGTAGTTTGTTTCATTGTAGTACCGAGTAATACACACTAGAAAACGTTGCACACAAATAATATACTCAGTGGGGTGGAATTGGTGCATGACAGGTTACGTTAAAAGAAATTTATTTCATAACAATGATGGTCATATAAAGTTAGGTGACCGAAGAATACGTGACAATGGCTCGTTGTTCCATTGAACGGGCCCTTCGTTGGTGTTGGGGTTCAAATGTAGAGGGATCCGAGTCAAAAGGACAAGAAGGGGATTCCTTGTTGACTTTGTTTCCTCCATGCGTAGAACGCAATGACGCGGATCAACAACACTGCAATTTCTTATCGAACGAAGACTCCTAGCAAGAGATGATTTCTTCAAAGCTGTGCTTTTGGCGTCGCAAGTGAGAGGCAACAGAAACAGATATCTCTTCTTTCTTCTTTCTATTCACTCGTGTATGGTTTTGGTACTGGCAGCGGAAAAATACTTCTTTCTTCTTTATATTAAGACGTGACTTTTGGGCAAGTATCGAGGCATGTTTTTCCTGACCAAGAAACGTGTGTGCTCGTTGATAAAGAGTGAGGAAAAACATAATTAAATTAAAACAAGAAGAGATTAATCGAACAATCTCGCTTGCATTCCCAACATACTCTCCCCTCCACTGAGGTGCAGTTCAACAACAACAATCTTAACTTGTAACTTTTACTGTTGTGGCAGTTTCCGATAAAGATTGACCTTGACTGGGTCAAGATTCAAGATTTATAGGTTGTAAGATATGTCCGAAACCGTGTTCTGCCGATAGATTTTGTCCAGAGATAGAAAGATCGAACACTTTTTTTAAAAGGCCATAGTACGTAAACATAACCAACAACCCCTGGCACGATGTGTCATTTCGGATGTGACACTCAAACCCATACGAGGCTCGGGCTTTCCGAACTCTATGTTGAAGTCAGTCACGCGACTCATAATTTTATTATTATATCCGACATATTTACTGTTATGGATCTTTTCATTACAAGAAGAGATAATAGCCGGCCATTGTCTTTCGAATTTGCTTGTTATTATATCTAATACAGCATACTTTGGACTGTTGCACCTACTGCGAAAAATACTGCAGGCGGCTGCTCCTGAATGCGAATAGATATATATATATATATACATATATGTATGTATGTATATATATACATACATATATATGTATATACATATGTATATACATACATATATATATATGTATATATATATATATACTAGCACCGTAAATTCTTTACTAGCACTGTAAACTCAGAATGAACCGAGGTAAGTAGCATTAGGTACGATCCAAATGGTCAGCACTAAAGGAAGCTACATAAGTAGTTTGAAGAGAATGAATCAGTTTAAATATCGGAAGCCGAAGCCGAATCTCAGTTATCAACAGCAAGCTACATAATGGGGGTGCCTAAAGATGGTAATTCCACTTGTTGTTCCAAGGAAGGTAAGTGATGAGGATAATAATGACGACAAGACTTGAGTGACGATAGCTGCCCTAAATAACGCCCCACACCCTCAGGTCAACGCGGACCGGGATGCCGACCAAGGCACATTAACGCCCCGCCTGAACTCAGTCCTTCACGTCGACGCCATCAGCTCTCAGCCAACAACCTCAGCATTGGACTCCGTGCGCTCGACCGAGGCAAAGGAGCATGTTGACCGAGGCGTGCCCATACCCTACGGTAGCCCGGTCGTCCACGCAACCCCAGTGGCCATGTCAGACGCCACGCGAGGTACTGTCCTACCCCTGCAAACAGCCACATCATATAACATCAAACTCATCTATAAGTGCTCTTACATCCCGAATGGAAAGAGGGGACTGGAACTTCCACTTCTTCACTAGGAAAGCTCCCTTCTACATCAATTGACTTGATCGTCGGAGGGGTCGAGCCGAGCTTCCGACTCGACCTTTGTGCAGGTACAAAGACGACAACCCTCGCCAGGTTCCCGGAGGATCCAACGACACCGCACGCGCCCACCCTAACGGAACCAAGCTCGCCTTGGAAAGATCCCCTCGCCAACCGGGCCCGAACCAAGCCACGTCGGTCCCGAGGCCACGGTTCATGGTTGTTTACACTAATTGTTCTAAGAAAATAGGGAAATCAATCTACTATTGAAACTCGGAAACAGTCCAACGAATGAATTTGTAGACTAGCGACCTGCCTCTAGTTATTAGCTTTCCCTTGACACTCTACCGACACAGTGAAAAACATGAAAAAAAGAATTCAGTAGTGACTTGCCGGCTCCTGCCGCTAGTGTTCCGTCTTCCAATTCCATTCTTATGATCAGTAGTAGCTTGTCGTCTGCCCTTACCTTAGTCTGCCCTGAACCCTTATTTCTTTCCCGCGCGTACCTTCTCTGGCTCCTTCTGATTCTGGTTATTCACTTGGAGTCAACTTCTTCGTTTCCTACTTGTTACTTCTGACTTTAGGGATTCTATAACTCCTGCCGCCTAAACATTTGTAGGAGTTGCTTATACGTATGTCTGCTTGTCCAGTAGTGGCTAAGTAGACTTGTTCACTTCTTCGCCACCTAGAGACAAACATTCAATTCATTCTTCTTAACAAAGTAGAGAGGCAAGGCAAGGGCGACACCTAACTTGAAGTTGAGTCTAGTTCTCGTATAGAATAAGAATCAGAATCCTTATCAGAAGCAGGGGAAAGGGCAGGATCTCAATCTTCAACGGGAAGTCAAGGTGTTGGCGCAGGGCAAGAATCCAGTAGTGACAAGTAAGCAAGGGCAGAATCTTAAGAATGAGCTAGGTATTCAAGAAAGAAGTCACCAAAGAGCCAGAGGATAGGTATTCTAGTTGCCAGCAGCAATCGGGCCTGTTCTTTGTGGACTCGTTTGACGAAACCCGTGTTTTTTCGTAGCTCAGCATTTTCCGCTAATAGAGAACAAAAAAAGACACAAGAGTTTTAGAAACCCGGGGAAAAAGGCTGTAAGGGAGTTTTCCCTACTAGATGACCTATTTTCAATGATCTTTTTCAAGAAACCCTGTGTTTTTTTATAGCAAATAGTATAGGACCGGAGTTACTTGCCTACTTGTCTAGTAGTTACTTGTTGGGTGAAGGGCAGAATCCATTACTTCCTACTGCGCTAAGACAATAAGTTGATCCTCCTATACAGAAGTCGAAGAGATAGGCCAGAATAAAGATCATTAGCTGGTAAGGAAGCAGCAGCCAGGTCTGCAAGTGATTCTGTTCTTGTTTCATCGTGAAGATAAGATCCGTTGGTTAAGGGTAAGGGGGTCAGCAGTGAGGTTAAAGTTTAGAGTGAGGTTACCGTGCTCATGGTACTCTACTAGTTAGGCAAGGGAGACAAAGACAGGACTCGTCTCTTTCCAAATTTTATCCTTAATAAGAACAGATAGAATTTGATAGGGTTTTCATCTACTGTGTGTGTACTATGTTGGTAGACGAGTTTCCAAAGTCTAAAACTAGCGGTCCTGTCGCGATACCGAACACACGACTCGGTTATAACTTTCGTTATAACCTCGACAGCCGCTTTAGTAGCTCGCTATCGCGTCTTAGTCGGCTTGGTCGTTAGTAATTACTTGCCTAGTGTCTTTGCCACTTTTTTTTTTCATCTTTTCATTTTTGACTTAAAATCATCAAAACTCGATAAACCGAGTCAAATACTATTAGAGTACCACGAGCACTATGGCTACAATACCTCAGGCTACAAATACTATTAGGTCTCTTATACCGCCAAGCTACTACTCTACTCATTTTGCACGGCAGGGCCGCTAGTGTTCGCTCTGGCTCCTCTACCTCGACTGATTACCCTATTCTAGTGGATCTCGATTGACTCGACAAGAACGTTCGCTACGGCAAGTTGATTTACCCTTGACACCTTACCGACACAGTAAAGAGCCGAACACTGGACAAAGTAAGAACGAATACGGACAACTCCCTAACGTGCAAATCAAAGAATTCACTTTCACTGTAAACAATTCTCCCAGAAGCCACTGATTCAATAATTACTGTTTCCATACTTTACTCCACTTTCCTTCCTGCGCTTATTGCTATTGCTTACTTATTAACAGCATTTTATGTTAGGCCTGGCAATGCTTCTTTCCCAGAGCTACACTTTACAAGCACTGCTCATTCTTTAGCATAGTTGACTTTCCTGGCACAGCAAATTCTTTATTGATCTCCTTATCCCCTACCGAGGTAATATATATACATAAATATATATATATATATACATATACATATATAAATATATGTATATGTATATATGTATTTGTATATATATATATATATATATATATATATATATATATATATATATATATATATATATA